CTAACTAAAATCCACAGCACCAAACATCAATATAGGCCTATAATGAGATACCCCAAACATTGGTGTGGTACAGCATAGGCAATAAATTCTGCATAAAATGAATATTGTTTGCTTGCATCAACACCTTGTTATTGGATTTACAGGGTACAAGTTTAGTGAATTAAATAAAATAACTCTGGAAAGCAGAACAGGTTACATTTAAAAACGCCCTTCTATATTTAACATGTTTGTAATAAATTATTTCCAGAATGTTTAAAAGACAGCTGTGTAGTTTCACATGGAATGGCAAAGCGCTGACAACCATTCATCCCTGAGCAACTAGTTATATAGCTCTAGAAGATGACACGAGGTGTAGTATTACACTATGATTTAATGCCATTATAGTTCTTGTTCTTTAAAACGTATGCCTTAAAGGGCAGCTCCAGCTAAGCAGCTAAATACATATTAGCAGGGGCGGACTGACAACTCATGGGGCCCCCGGGCAATTGGGGATCATGGGGCCCCTGTGTCCTTGCCCACACTCAAAACACACCCAAAAAAGCCTATAAAAAGGTACCAGGGGCATTTTATGGGGCCCCCTACTGACCCGGGGCCATCGGGCAGTGCCCGAGTGTTCGAATGGTCAGTCCGCCCCTGCATATTAGATGATATACATAGGAAATATTTCATCTGCCGAAAGATTTGTAAAGTAATGCAGATACATTTTTGACTCGGCTACTCTATTTTGGCAACAAAAATGGTGAGCTTCAACTTCTGTGGGCACTGTGTCACTTACTGCCCGCGCTACGGACTACCAATGAAAGTCACCATACTGGTGTGCCAGGTATGATTTATGGAAAACAGGCAAAGGTTGGTTCAAAAACAACCAAAGCAGCAACCAAAGTAGCCCAATTTAAAAAAAAAGAGAAAAATAAAACTTGTCATAAAGAAATGTTCTTAAAGTGCATTTCCATTCAAAACTTAAGAAAAAAAACACTCATTTTCCATAGACCATTGAGTCTTGAGCTTGGCATGTTTTATTAGGGGTTGTTGAACGTGGATGGGGTAAGGGGTGTAAGGGATGCCCAATGGAACTGCAAATTAAGGGCAAACCCCATAGCAACTATGTACAAGTCTTTCACAGAAGAAACTCTTCTTGGAGAGCTCTCCAGCCTCTTCTGGTGTACCACCCAAGACCACAGATAATCCTCTTATCCAGCTGCCTGAGGGAATCACTGGGCAAGGGAATCCAATGCCTGCCACTTTAAATGAAACAGTCCCGGGTAAAGAGCAAACCAGGTTTCCCACCAGAGTGCTCTTTTTCCCTTAACTGGCCCAGGGGGTGTAGGACTACTCACTCAGTCTCAGTCCTGCGAGCCAAATTATGTAGGTGGCTGCCTTAAGGCCTTCTGCTGGGCTGGCTCCTTTCCTGGCTATACAGGTGGTCCTTGCTCTGGGGGCCGGTGAGGTTAAGCGATCCTCCTTTCCAGCTTCCTGCCTGCAGGTAGGCCCCTTTTTACTGGGCACCTTCCCAAGCTCTTGCATTTCAGCTTCCTCACATCTTCCACCCAACCTCTTCTGCTGCTGAGCAGTCTCAGTCACTCTTAAGGGCTGTCCTGGCCCCATGCCAAGCCTCCTGCTTAGGGATTGGTCATGATCCACTGAGAGTTCAAACCAGCCCCTCCTCACCCCCCGCCCACTGCTTTTAGAATCCTCTCCAGGATTCTAGAGCAGGGGGAGGTATCAAAGAACTGATCTGCAGAGCCTCTCAATCTTGACCCAAATTTGACCCAGCTGACTATTGCCCAGTCTGCTACTCAGCCTTTCTAACTGAAAAATAATCAGCTAGCTCCCCCCTAACTAACTAGGAGGGTGCTACACAAGGAACCCTGGCTGAGAAACCCTGCTCTATCATTATTAGTGCTTTGCCTTTCGGAACAGATGGGGATTCTGATGGGTTTTGAGGACTGCTGTAGGATGGTATAGGCACCTCTAGGAACCTGTCTTTCATACCTGCAGACTTTTATCTTCTTTTAAGCAGGAGCACAATAATGAAAAAATTAGATACATATACATTTATAATTAAAGAGTAAAAACGAAAACACAGTTTTTAACCAGTAAAGTATTTTAGAATTTGCCATAATGCAGATTACATTCAGACACAGCTGGGAAGGAACTAGGGAATTTACTGTGTAAGAACCTTGTAATGAACTGAGCTAACTAAATATCTTCTTTTCAGTCAGGTTTCTTAAGGATGCTCACAAGTGAATATTTCATATCTCCATTGCCCGAGCACCTTGCAGAAAAGCACAACTTCACGGCTCCAGATGGACATCACCCTCATGTACTATATAAACGGTCAGCAGAGAGTATAATTGATCTGGACAGCGGAACCTCACAATCAAGGTCCATTCACCAGGCACCTCAAAGTTCACAAAAGCAGCATTTCTGTGGAAAACCCAGGAAACGTGAGTGAAAGGTGGAACCATCTGTGGTGTGATTCAGGCGAATAGAAGGGAGAGGGCTATATAGTAGTGTGTATGCACTATAGGGATCTCCATTTTTCTAGTACAACACCCAGAGCTGTTAATCCTTGTTCATAAACTGTAAAGGCAACTTTCCAACATCTACATTTTTTTTTCTGAGGGACATGATAAACAAAACCTGAATCAACAGGATATTAGAAAACAAAATAATATATAATTTTAACCAGTATATGTAAACATGGTTAAACATTACTATTGAAGGGCATGCCTAAAATTTGACTTTTAACTTAGTTCAGGCTTGTGGAATAGTCAGCGAACCAATCACACAAGCAGGAATTGACATTTCTGGGGGCATTTTCATATACCAATTGTGTACAAAATGCCTCCGTTTTGTCAGATTGTGTTGAATTTTGCAGAAAATTACAGCAACTGCAAATTAAAAAGGAAATGTAATTTTTTAAATTAAATTATAGCATGGGTTGTGTAGCAATTGTTTGTGCTGTTTTATTTTTCTTTATCTATTATTATATATTTTTTTCCATAAAAGTGGCGTCATCCTTTGACTGTCATTAAAAAAATAGAAGCCCCTAGGAATGAGATGAGCAATTTTGGTAAAACTAATTTGCCATAAGTTTACCAGAGTGCAAACTCTCGATTTTACTCATTGAGTTGAAACACATTTCAATATATATTCAAAAACTGTTTTTTTTTTTTTTTTTTTTTAATTAGAGGATTTTTTTTTTGGTAGTAGTTTACATTATTTAAATTTTTTAGGTTGCTTAGATTATTTTGATTAGGGTTTTCGGTATTTTTTTTCTTTCCCCTGTTGTGCATTGAATTGTTACATGTAAACTATTGTTTTACATTTTTGTTTTTTTTGTACTTATTTACTGTTTGTGTAACCTAATAGAGTGAGGATAATGAAGGATTGCTTTTTGGAGCATACAAACAAGTTCAGTAAAAGGAGCTTCCATTAACCTCAACATAACATAACACCCATTGCACCCTTTGAAACCATCAAAACCATCTTAACTTGTTTGACTCCAATGAATTGCACCAAATTAGGGAAATCCCATTTTTTCCAATGTCTTTGGGAAAAGTTAAATCAGTAAAAAATTAGTTTTGCCAATCCCCAGATTTCATTGGTTCTGTTTAAATTAAGTCATTTATCAAATTGGGATAGCAAGGTTGGAACATCAACTTTTTCGCAAGGCGGTAGACAGTGTTTTTTTATTTTTCCTGCTGCAGTTTCCTCCTTAGAGAATTTAAATGCTTCTTTAGATAGTGGCTTTAAGATTTAGTGGTTTTGGATATGCCTGATACAGGAGATTTAATGTTATTACTATAATGAATATCTCCTTCACACACATTTATGTGGATGTGGCCTTACCTCTATCTTGTGGTTTGTAAATATGGGATGATTTTCTAAGATTCTTGTTTTTGAGAACACCAAGCAAAATTTGTCAATCCAAAAACACCATACAGTATCACATTATAGTCTGTGGGTTTATATTGTTCTGTCTCAAACACCAACTGATAGTCACCACATAATTATACATATTTTTTAACGTTTGTAATACATTTGGGTTTTAACTTACAAGTAAAGTCCCACTTTTTATCCCTCCTCTCATACCCTTCTGGGTTGACTGTGTGGTTATGTGGTATAGCAGGGTTGGTATCTCCAGGGGAAGATGTTCCTTGTAATGCTCAATACATCATAAATTACATTATTGACTGACCCCAATGGTTGTAGTTTTTAGGTGACCCTTTTTACCTCCAACCTAAGTCCATTCAAAATGTGTATTTTGTAGTCAGGAAGAGGAGATACTTTGGATTGGTTTTTATTATATCCATGACTACAATGGAGGGGACAAGAAATAAGGGGAGCAGTTTGCACTGTGATAGGAGAACGCGGCCAGCATTAAGAATCTCATGCAATATTACTGAAAGAAAAATGTATTGCTGCAGTCTGTGTTATAACTTTAGGGTAGAACTATAGGTTTCCTACACAACAGGAAGAGAGTGGAAATATGTCCAAAGGAGATACAGACTTATTCCCACTCTATCCAAAACTAAAAAAAAAAAAAAAGTTTGATTAGGTTTAAGATTTAAGAAGAAGTGCCCTCCCCCAAGTCCACAAAGCAGAAACCTGTGGGGATACCACTGGGAATGCTTTGACAACACACTGTATGTATGCTGGGGCTTCTGTGAAAGATGACGCCATAACTTTGACACAACTGTACTGCATATGAACCCTGCTTCTTTTTTCCTAAATAGATGAATGTATTTCTACAAAGTAGATTGTACTTGAAGTAAATGTTGGATTTTTATTTTTAGATTCATCTAGCTTTACTGCAAAAAAAGGTTCCCGTGTAAGCTCTGATGAATATCCCCACCCACCAAGGTTAAAGCGTTCTGCTGCAAAATTCCAGAACTCTAACAGTTTGGTTGTTGAGACCCTTGTGGTGGCTGATAAGAAAATGGTGGAAAAACACGGCAAAGAAAGCATCACCACACACGTATATACTCACTGTGATGAACATGGTAAGGTACTATCTTTTTATCCTATACTTTTTATACTTATTATTAAATTGAGTTTCCATGTCAGGCCACAAGCTGTTATGTCTGGGACTTAGAAATATGCATTTGTTCCAACAGGTTAAACAAAACCTGTGCTGAGGGAATGTCATAGGCTGCCATTGCGGCTCCATGTTTCTGAAGGTGCTTGTTGCCAGGCACTTTTGCTGATCCACACTGCCTGAGCCATAGACATAGACATATCTGCAGATCAAGAGTTCTGACTTCTGTTGGCAGTGTTGGCATGCTGCTTCCAGCTTGGTAACAAGCATTTTCAGGGGAGATCAGCCATGACAGTCTGTATATTTCTCTCAGCACAGATTTTTTTTATAAGCAGCAGTCAAGTTCTAATTTTGTTGAGAAAAGAACCCAGTCTTCTCCAGTTACCCAATCCGTCTCCAATTTTAGTACACTTTATTGTATACAGAGCAATACTGTTCTGTCAGTATTGACTCATGCATTCCAGTCTCTTCCTCCTTCCTGAGTGCTGTGTGGAAGGGTCTACCTCCCTGGTGCTGAACCTCTGGCCCAAGGGTCACATGCGGCCTGTAGGTTAATGATGTTCGGCCCTCAGACCTCAGCAGTCTGTAATGGGAACATTGATTAGGGTAATAGCATTGATCTCTACTAGCCCCATGTAAAGTGTTCTGAGTTTCGTGTTGTCTTCTGTTGCATATCCCCAGCCAAAAATGTAGCAGGTCTACATTCTCTGACCCTCATTTCCTGCAGTTTCTGACAGTCCTCTCAAGCAATACATATATTGAACATTATGTGCGACCCTTTGGTGATGTTAGGGGCCACATATGAGCTCGTACCTTGACAACCATTGCTCTACCTAATATAACTGCATGATTAGTCCTGGGACTGTAATAGGAGAAAACCTGATGGAAATATGCAATTAGCCAATCACTCAGCTACAGTTCCGGTGATGTTCTCTACAAGAATATCTTTTAGAACATGCTCACAGGTTTCATGGTTACAAGGAGAAAACATTTAAAAGTTTTTTTTAGAATTATAGTTGGTTGAAGATTGAAAAGGAAAAGTCTATTTGGCCATTTCATATACAGTGTATAGTTGTATATGGTCCATGGCACTGATTTACTAAAGCAGGCACTTCAAATACCCAATAAATCATAGGTTAAGTAACAATTTTTTTGTTTTATGTGCCATGATCTTGACTGGTTATGTAAGCTGAAGTCAGGTTAAGTAGACTCCTAAAATTCTGCGGTTGTAGCTGAATTCTGTAGTATATATCATATTTCAGGAATCTGAGTAATATAACCCTCTATGCCTCCACTTATATTTGGCAAATGTTTAGGGCGGGCTACCCAGCTCAGCTTCACATGACCTTAACATGCAGCTGGGTGTTAGCCACCATGTGAAGTTTGCAGGGTGTCACAGGTTGTTCAACCCAAACCAATACAGTCAAATGCACAGATGTGGCCTGAGACCTAAACCTCCCATCCCCCTTGCCCCTATGTAGTTAACCTCATTCTCCCCGGGAGTACTCACACACCTGGTCAACACAATAGCTTCCAGGACCCAGATGCCAGGTTTGTACCAGTAAGCATACCTTTCACTCCACTTCCCTGGGATTTGTTGTATTTAACACTTCACTCCATTAGATTATTATACAGAAGCTTCTTGATGCAGTCAAACTTCTTTACTGGAACAGTTCAATAAATTACACATAGTTCAAATACTGGCATTGCCATTTCCCAAATAATGGCTTGAAATAAAGATGTTTAAGAATGGGATCACTTGTGGATTCACCCAGATGTTATCCTGTTTACTCTTCATCCCCTGGGTGCACACTCCTACAGCTGCCCAAATCTTCCATAGGGGGGAAATAAAGGGAAACACCAACCTCCTCTTTAAATGTTTACTTCCAGCTTCTATAGTAAGAGGATCCTTCCCCAGCCCTTCTCTGAAGGGGAGAGCACCAACATCCTCAGCAGGCTTTCCTCCTCTTTCTGACTCCTGGCTGAAACGAGCCCTGAACCCAAGCTCCATGCATCTTAGGGATACTCAAAAAGGTTTCCACTAGGAAGAAAAGCAACAAGGAACATTTACCTACCTCTACCTGCCTACAAATGGGCCATCAGAGTCTGATCTGCAGATATACCATTTTTTAAGGGAAATTATACTGGTAGGCAAGAACTCAAGATTTTTTATACAGAAGTTGCACTAAAATATATTTGTATTATTACTTTTGACCAAGGGATGTCAGTCCCCATCGGATACACTGATTTACTAAAGGAGTAAATTTTTTCACTTCGCTTAATAAAATATTTTCACATCAATTATCCAATCATATACAAATACATTTCTATTATTTTTTTATGTCTACAAATGATTGGTTGTTCAAAATAAACACTGGCTCACTTGGCTCAGTGAAACATTCTCCTTTATTAGCTGGGGAATTTAACAGGACTTTGTAGGCACCCAATAACAAAAATGATATGTATTAGACATAATAACATTTTTATTATATCTAATACATATAATTTTTGTTATTGGGTGCCTAAAACATCCTGTTAAATTCCCCAGCTTTGTAAGACTTGATTTCGGGATGTGGTACCACTTTATTTTGGTTGGGTACAGGGGCGGACTGACAACTCATGGGGCCCCCAGGAAACAGGTGATCATGGGGCCCCTGTGTCCTTGCCCAAACTCAAAAACGCCTATGAAAAAGGTACCAGGGGCACCTGATGGGGCCCCCTACTGACCCCGGGCCCTCGGGCAGTGCTCGAGTTTCTAAATGGTCAGTCCGCCCCTGGTTGGGTATAGGAATATGTAATTATAATTCTCCTTTAGTATATTAATTCCAGCACACATACTATAGGAGAAGGGACACCTCCTACTGTGGGTACAATACAGTTTTAGCTGTAAATACTTTATATCTCTCTGCAGGTTTCCAGTCTTTTTAAGGATGGAACAATTGGAAGTGACATAAACATTGTTGTTGTGAGTCTTTTGCTTTTGGAAGATGATCCAGTAAGTGACTACCATTCTACTTACACCTATACCCAGTTTTGCTATGAGTCACTATTGTCTGGAATAGTGCATATCAGAACAACACAAATGGGCTCTGGGCCAAATTCTCTTTTGTGTGTGCCTCCTTAATAGAAACTTTAAAGCCCCACCCATTTTTACTGGCCACCATAGTAGTGCTAGAAGATTATTATTTTTGGGTGAGTAACATGTCAATATCACAGATAACATTGGGATTTTATTCTACCAAATCTAATCTCCCAGCACTACTATTGAAGTCGGCAGAGAAGGGATGTGGCTTTAAAATTTCTACAAAAGAGACACAAACTAAGGAGGATTTGGCTCATCCAGGGAACTTTTGTCTGCTTTTTTGAGGCTTGTTTATTACATAGTAACTGGATTTGGTATTGGTTTAGACTATTATACAGGAGTCTTTAGTCACACTTTATTCAATTATCCCACAGTCGAGGTAATGAATGTATTGATTCTGTACTAAGAGTCATTCAGTTGCATCTTGACAGTGACATTTTAAGGGAATACTGTTTTCACAAAAGTAAAGGATTAGTCCAGCTAATAATGATATTTCAGTTTCTGACCTTTATGAAGGGTCTCACTCTCCCTTTTTTATTTATTTATTTTTTTCTTGTGAAAATGCAAAAGGAGTGGCTTGAACACACAAAAGTTCGGTGGGAACACCCAAAAATCCCAGTTGTATTGTAATAGAGTTCGAAATTCTATGAGGAAGATCTCACTGTTGGAATATCCAAGAGATATTAATAGCGATTGACAGATGCAGCCCATCAGATTAAACAGATAACTAAAATATAACTTTTAGGACTATTTCTTTAAACCTAATCTTTCATGCACACAGAAAAAGCACTTTTAGAGGCACTTTTCATTTTTATATGCCTCTAGCAGTTCCAGGAAGAAAGATCCAGCGTAGATGGGAGTAATTTAATATACCTGTGTGCATGCAGCCTTAAGGTACCTGTGCAAGAACAAAAAGCAAGTAAACCCGGGGAAACAATTATATCTTAAATAAACAGTTCGAGAGAGAATTTTAAAACTTTTTAAAAATGGTGCCAAGTTGTCATCCTGGGTTAAATTGTTAGGTTCCAAACCTGCCTTGCATTAATCACTCATATCTAAATAACATCATTTAGACATCTGAGTCCTCAACTTCCCTCAACACTATTGTCTAAAATCTTTTGTATGATGTAGCAGTAACTGTACCATTGACTGGAAAACCACTAATTTCAATAATGGACAGAGAATCAACATATTTTGGATAGGTGTGATTGTTATGCATCCACAAACATGGCCATTTTTGTAAATTCACTGTTTAGTGCTAATTTTAATCATTACATATACAATAATTATTCTTATTTTTGTTTCACAGTCTGGACTTAAGCTCACTCATCATGCTGATCAATCCTTGAATAATTTCTGCCAATGGCAGTCATCCCTTGTGGGTAAGAATGGAAAAAGACATGATCATGCCATTCTTCTAACAGGATTGGACATTTGCTCATGGAAAAATGAGCCTTGTGATACCTTAGGTAAATACTTTACAATATAAGTAAAAACACCATAAAACAATGCACCTAAAAAAGAATGTGTTTTTTTTTTTAATAAAAGCAGGATATGGTTTTGGAAGAAGGAGCAGATGATCTTAGTAAATACACTTTGATATTGCTATTGACAGGCGTATGAAATATTGTAGATCTGGAGGAGTTTGCATTGTTAACTGGGATTTCCATTTAATTTGTAGGTTTTGCACCAATAAATGGAATGTGCAGCAAATACCGCAGTTGCACCATAAATGAGGACACTGGTCTGGGCTTGGCTTTTACTATCGCTCATGAATCGGGTCACAAGTAAGTAAATGTAATCATCAAAAATAATTAAGGGTAGTGCTATTAACAGTTTAGTGTAAGAGAATAAGCCTGGGAAGTTGCCATGTAGTAAAATCATTAAGTGGGTTCCTGTATCTTGTGGGAACTCCAGTGACAAGGTCCCATTGGTGTGGTCCCCATCTCTATTCCCTAAAGTTAATATGAACTTTGCCCTGCATACTGCATTTATTTATTTATTTCATATTACAATGATCCAAGGTGATCCCTTGTTGTGTTGTAGTCATGGTTTGGTTTGCAGATGTTTGCAAATCCATCACATAGATACTCAAGTTATATTGAAGACATGTGAATGACTCAGTACTTAAGCTTCAATCTATAGTGAATTTGACAATTTTGGTTTTACCTTTAGATAGTAATCTGTACTTTAAAAGTTGTGCCAAGTAAGGCAAGCAGAGGATAAAAGTTTACTGATCAGTTTTGCCTATAGGCTCCCTGCAGCTGATGTTTGCCCTATTACTGACTTACCATGTCTTGTTCTTCACTGTGTCTATGGAGGCAGTCATCTTGGCAGCAATTTACTTCCTCATGTCAGAGCTGTTCCCCTGATGACCAGATGACAGGTGAAACAATGATCAATAAACAGATGGAGAGTTAGTGAAAGGAAAAATCCATATAATGAATGAAGGAGAATCAGGAAGATCCTTGCACTTTAAGTCCATAGGTACAGTTTTCTTTCCAGCAGAAAGAACAGTGAACAACGCCATAGTGACACCAAAAAATTTCATTCCAAACCTTGTAAGACTAGCAGTCAGAGGCATCAGTGCCTTAGATTATCTCACACCTCAGATTTAGACTACAGAAAATAAATGACTAAGCAAAGTCACATGCCAGGAAGTGCATTAAACTATTTTTAAAATAAATAAACATTTATACTCACCAAGTATAGCATCCATCTGATGCTGCATCTTGCCCCCCCCCCCCCCCGTCAGCTCTGCAGAGAGAACTGAGTGATCAAACACCACTGAACTCTTAATTTTCACTCTCCGCTTTGAGCAGAGAGTCATGACTGTCAGTCTCTGGCTCTCTGCTCTGCCCCTCCAGCGCTCACAGGATCACCAAGGTAGGGAGGGGAGGAAGAGGCTGGCTCAATCTCCAGTGGCACAGCTGAGACAGAGAGCCAGGTGCCAGTCCAGGCTTCTGGTTGGATCCTGACCATATGGTTGAGATCTTTTCAGAGCCTGGACCAGCTCTGTGAAGTCAGCCAATGGCAGGCTGAAAACAGTTCACAGGAGTGCAGAACAAACTGAACTCCTGAGACCTACAGGTGAAGTAATGCCAAAATAGCTTTCTCTATACTTCTCCTTTAATGAGGAATTCAAGACAAAATAAAAATTTCGGGGGGTACTGCTAAAGCGCAAGTATCATTTCTAATCATAGTTTCATAGAAGATTTTGAGTTGGCCTGAGAGTAGTGGATCTATTATGGAAACCAATAGATGGTGAAGGATCTGCTTCTCTAGATGAGACTGCAGCATCCACCATTTCTCCTCAATATATCGTCCTGTGGAATTCACGCACTGCTTATATAGCCTGTTCCCTTCTTTAATGAAAAATGGCAATTATCTGGTGGTGAAAATTATCCTCTCCCCTTGCTTTTATTACTGGAACTTTGTTTAAGAGATCATGTGGCTATTATTGTTGGAAAACATTAGCAAATTATTAATTATCCCCTTCCCTCCTTACCCAAAACTTAAATACGTACTTGGGTCAAGTTAATCATTTGGCTTTGATTTCTCTTACTGTATCATACTGAAAACAATTGAACATATACTCTTGTGACAGCTTTGGAATGGTCCACGATGGAGAAGGGAATCCTTGCAGGAAGACTGAAGGGAATATCATGTCTCCCACCTTATCTGGAAACAATGGGGTGTTTTCCTGGTCAGCCTGTAGTAGACAATATCTGAAAGAATTTCTCAGGTGAGAGCCAAGGTGGACATCTGCCATCAGAAGTGTCCCGTAGACAGTACAATTCTGGAATGTAATTATTCTGCTGCTTTCCCTTCCTGAATGATAATAATGCTTCCAAGAATCCTTTCAGGACTTTTACTGGCAGGTTTATTGGTTTTTATAAGTGTCGCTTCTGTCTAACAAGCTCCCAAGCCAGCGTTACGTTACCTTTCGTAGCAGAGAGAACCAGATGTTCCTCTTGTTTCGTAAAGCTGTAGCATTTCCAAAACTGACCTTTTTGTTTCAGTCTCCAGGTGTTACTGTTAACCAACACCTTTGCCTCTGCTTCTGCTTCCTGTTAGTGACTTGGTTACACATTTCTGAGCGTGTTGAAACATTGCGTACAACTGGACTGTGTGCATTTCTAACAGACTGCAGTCATGAACCTGAAACATTCTGCCTGACCCCTACTGCCCTATGTGTTCTTTTATTGTCGACTTCCAAGTAACATATTGCATATCTTGCACCATTTACAGGCCAAGACACCATAAAACAGATATTTTAATTTTGGGTAGATCCAAAAGAGTTGATCACACTTCTTATATCTTTCAAGACCTCTGCACCTGATAAAAAAAGGAAAGAATATTTTCTCTAATGTATAGAAAAAATAAAGATTAACTTTAACCATTCCAGTGCTAGTGTTCTTACAGCCGCTGGAAAAATCCATAGTGTTGTCTTTTTCCTTAATTTTTATTAGTGAAAATTAGATCCACTGACAAGCTATCTGTGCATTTCATTCACCTGCTCAGATATTCATTCATATGTGTAACATTTTTTATTTCAGCTTTTTTTCTTAAAAAGGCAATACACTTTCTACCCTTTATATGAATACCATAGACATTTTAAATCACCAAAAACATTAAATGAATAGGTAAACAAAATATTATAAATTTCTTAAAATTATAAAATAAATATTAGTGGTTGTAAAGCCTAAACTTTTTTTTTTTTACATTAATGCATTCCCTGCATTAAGGTAAAAAATGTCCCAGTGCTAGAATCGCCCCCTTACCCCTTCAGAGTCCTCATTCGATCTAGCGCTGTGCCCTTCTGTAGTGGCTCTCTCCTCTCTCCCTGCTCTCACAGGCTTTGCTAAGCCATTGACTCCCACTGCTGTCAATCAAATCCTGTGGCTATGTGCACAGCCTGGCTTGGGGCACTGTGAGAAGAGGAGGAACCTAGAGTGCTGGCGGTGGACCCCAGAAGAGGAGGTTTGGGGTTTTGGGGAGCAGGTAACTATAACATGTTTGTTATTAACAGACAAAAAACATTTACAATCACTTTAAATATTGATTATTTTTATATACTTGTAGCACCCTCCTAGTTAACTAGGGGGAGCTAATATTTCAATTGTTAGACAGAGGCTGAGTAGCAGCCTGTGTAATAGTCAGAGGGAGGTCAAATTCAGGACAGGGCTGAGAGGCTCTGCAGACCATCTCTCTGAGACTTCCCCCTGCTCTGGAACTTTGGAGACAGTTCTAGAAGCAGTAGGCAGAGGTGTGGAGTGGCTGGTCTGCACTTTTGAAGGATCCTGGCCAATCTCCAACAGGAGGCTTGGCATGGGGCCTAATAAAACATCAAAACAAAGCTCAAGGACTGGTTACTTCAAGTCTGAATGGAAAATGTGTGTTGTCGGTCGGGCTATGCAGGACTATAGGGGGACCAAATCTTTAGTGACCCCTAAGGGGGTAGTGTTACATACCATGTGTGTGTGTGTATATATATATATATATATATATATATATATATATATATATATATATATATATATCCGTGTAAAGTATCTATATATAGTGCAAAAACAATCATTGTATTCTATTTATCAGGTAATATAAATTATTGATTATATATATATATATATATAGGAGGTGAGAACTAAACAGATCAGCAATGCTGTACTGGTTTAAAAAGTTTAGCCCGGGATTGTAAAATATCTATATATAGTGCAAAAATAATTATTGTACTCTATTTATCAGGTAAAATAAAAGTTTAGCCCAGGTTTATTATTCAGTGTCATGACTGCCACTTGTATTAAATGTTTGTAAAATAAAGGTTTTATACAAATTATCAAAAAGCTATAAACTATTAATTTATATAAATTGATGAACATCTATTGTTTTATCCCATTCAATTATACCCCTCCTCTATAAAGTGTAATGATAAAGCATGCCTTTGATGTATGTAAGCCATGGGAATGATTCACACTGAGTTCTATCACAGCACAGCTCAATCCTCCTGTCTCATTGATGAGCCAAAACAATTAGGACAATTTCAGTATCCAGAGAAGCTGCCTGGACAGACCTATGATGCAGACACTCAGTGTAAATGGCAGTTTGGACCAAAGGCAAAGCAGTGCAGCTTCGTAAAGGTATGTGTTGTGACTGTAATATGCAAGAGCCTATGAAAATGGCATAAAAATTGTCAAAAAATGTTGAGGACCAGGGTTTTTTGAATATAGTTCCCGAACAAGCCAATATATCTCAGTATAGCTTAATTTAAGGCTAATTCCAGAGAAAAGATTTTATTTCATTTTGGATAGTGCAGAAAAAAGTTAGAACCTTTGTTAGGTTTATATCTCTGTTTGGATCACAAACTTCAGACTGGATAGAAAGTGAAGAAAGATCTACCCAGTGGGGTTACAGACAGAAATAAAAGCTTATTTCTGTTGCAGAATAAAAGCTTATTTTGTACCGTAGACAACATATTACAAGGTGTTTCTCTTCCAAAATTATGCTTTCTAATTTCAGTGAAAAGGGTACTGCAAGTGACAGCTCTGGGCCAAGCACCAGGACTATCACTAAAGAGGTGGTGGAGGGGGATGAAGGAATAGTGGGTATGTTTTGCTGGGAGGGGGGCATTAAAGTGGCCTTTAGTTTTTTCTCTTTAAGCAAAGCACAGTTTTGTTTGACTGTGGTTACCTCCATTACTGCACAAGTATCAACCAACTAATTAAAAAAAATCTTTTCTTAGAAAGACTTTAATTTCTGTCTGTTTTGTGGGACCATTCTGCAGGATTTACTTTGTTCTGTGTTCTTTTCAGGACATATGTAAGTCACTCTGGTGTCAAAAATCCGGCCACAGATGTGAGACGAAATTCATGCCAGCAGCAGAGGGTACCGTCTGTGGCCTGAATATGGTGAGATTATATAGATACATGTTTCATAAATTTATTTCATATATACAGTATATATTAGGGTTTTTGTGTGTGTATATATATATATATATATATATATATATATATATATACACTTTTTAAAAAAAATTTTTGGACTTTTTCATTTATATAGCAAAAAAATAAAAATCCCAGTGTTGAATAAATACCACCAAAATAAAGTTTTTTTCTGTCTAAAAAAAAAAATGCTAAGAAATTAATATGGGTACAGTGTTGCATGACCACAATTATTGTGGTAATTGTATGTGATGAACAAGGCCGGTCATACAGATTATGGGTTTTTGTTATCATTACATAAAAGCCTTAGACAGCAAAATTTAGGACTATAATATATGTGACCAATTCTGGTGGGACATCACATTTTGGTGGGACATCACCAGAGTTTTAAACTTTTGTGTTAATTCTAAGTGGCAATGTCATGTGCTATATAAGTACCATAATATATGTGAAAGAAGCTTAAAGCTTTATAATTGTAATCAAATTCCTTATTAGGTTACACCATTTTACTCTGAGTAAAGTTAGAACTATAAGTGCATACATACCTTGGAGTCTTGGAGGTTGCATCAAGCTCTTGCAAAACTGCATATACTGTATATTCATGAATATGGTACCAAAGAAGAAGAGTAATGAGCAGAGTAGGACTGTTCTGTCATTCATTCTTGTGTTCCAGTTAGTAAATTAACTACGAATCTATTTCTCTGTAGAGATTTTCTTTAAAAAATATAAGCCATTTTGTAACTATAGTCAGTAGTCCATCAAGCCTGACTATAGAAAAAAAATGTATTGCCAAGAAAACAGGGGCTTTATTGTATCAATCCATTGGTATAATCCGTTGAGATGTTCTTGATTTAGTGACAGCTTCATTCATTTTTTGCAAAAAAACAAGAAAAAAAATGGCATTGGTGTCTGCATGGTCATATTTTCTAACAAGCTGGCAAGTCTTTGTAAAAACAAGCACCTCCAAATGTCAATAGCAATATTGTCTCTAGCCTATCGAACTGCTATAGGACCAAATCCTCCCTCAGTTTGGGTTTATGCAGGCACTTTAGCAAATGCCTACACAGCTGCTGATGTAATTCTGATAAAAAAAGAGCATACTAAACTTAGAACCTGTCCTTGTGTTTAAACAGTGGTGTCGAAGAGGGCAGTGCGTCAGGTTTGGAGACCATGGACCAAGATCAGTTAATGGAGGGTGGTCTGATTGGACAGAGTGGTCGGAATGTTCCAGAACCTGTGGTGGTGGAGTGATGTATCAAGAGCGGTTCTGCAACAACCCAGTGTAAGTCCCACATTTGTTCCTTCAGTGAGGAATGTTATTATTTTTGTGTTAATGAAAATGCCAGTACATTAAAACAACAGCATGCTCAGTTAAAAATAATATTACAAAAAAAAAAAAAATCACAGAATTTACTAAAATATATTGTGAGGCACTGACTGTCAGGATTAAGGATGATGTGTATGTGTTACCAAGCTTTCTTACGCACTCATGGCTAGGGGCTCCAAGGTTTATAACTGATTTTGAAAAAACAAACTTTTTCTATTTGTTGGAGGCTTTATAGATATTTATTGGGTGAGATAAAGCATCTATTCCTAGGACTACACCTAACATGGTAGGCCTCACTATTAGTCTCAGTTGTGCACAGGCTTATATATATATATATATATATATATATATATATATATAGATATCTGTGTATGTATGTATGTATGCATATATGTGTGTATATATATATATATATATATATATATATATATATATATATATATATAGTATATGTGAGCTTATGAGACTCAGGGATCTTTCTCTGACGCTCTCTGCTGAGAGAGCCTGCTGCTGGGTGAAGAGGCTGAGTGCTGACAGAACACTAAAAAGGTACCAGAGCTGTCTGTTTGCTTTGGTTCATCCTATTAGTCAGGAACACACCTGAATTTAGGTAATGTCTTAGGTAACCAACTGTTTTGTTTTTTTATACTATAGATTTGCTGTACAAAGCCCTCCTTCACTAATATTGTGTTTTTGCTGAATAGAAGTGCAGGGCAAACCTTCTTGGACTGTTCCTGGGTGTCCCTGTCTCAAGCATGGCTTACCACTGCCAATGCCAATTAAGGCTGAGCCGCTTACAAAGTGTAAAGGCATTTTAATTGGTTATCAGGACAGAAGCTGGTTTAGTTCTTGCCTTGGGGAGATGCATTTTTTATACAAAGTTCTTATTCCCAAGAAGAAACACATCAGGCAGCCTCTGACAAATATTCCTTAGCCTAAATTGGCTGATAGCATAGATAATGCTCTCTGACCTCTCAGCTGGTGTGCATCACTTGGCCACCTTAGATAGGAATCATCTGATCAAGCAACTGTCATCTCATGTTTTGAGGCTTTCTAAACTTCATAGTAAAATAAATACAATGTCAAACAGATGGATCTAATGGGTTCTTACCTATAAGAGAAAGTAGTTTAATTGAAAATTCAATGTGTTTTTATTTAAACCGATGAATGTACACTTATGCAGGATTCTCAATCCTGTATCATTACACACTTAAAGTGTTACTAAACCCATGACACCCGGCATTCATTATATCCGGTCTCCCACAGTACACACAACATGGAAATGCAATTATTTTAGTAAATATAAACTGCTGAATACCTTTTGTGACTGTCAGTGTCTGGCCAAGCACTGGTTAAAGCTTGTAGGAGGAGTTTTCATTCTGCTTTGACCGTCCTTTGAGGCTGCAAGACCCCTGACCCTCTTTCTGGACAGTGCTGATTGGCTCTGTGCTGATCACATGCACCCTCCGAAGAAAAAAAAAAACTCTCTAGCAATACACACTAAACTGAGCATATGCAGACTCCTAGAGCTCTGTACTATCAGCAGATGGTTTGGGGACAGTAGAAGACGGGGAAGGATCAGAGAAGACAGGATTAAACAACCTTTTTTACACAATGCAGAGGATTAACCCCTTAGGTTCCAGCTTGAGTAAACCAAGCACACTTTAATGCATATACAGACTGATTTTACTGTTGTGGGTTTAGTAACACTTTAATATATAGTATAATGTGAAAGAATCATGATTGCCAGGTAATAGTAAACTAGGAGACAGTGGTGCTTGCCAGAGATTCAGTGGGTGGAAGGATAGGACATGGGCCTGAACACAGCTAGGAGTTTAACAACCCCATATTACTATATCTATGACCTGACTTTTGCCTTTGAGGGGCCATCAGATATCTTAGCACATAAAAGTGGCCCCCTGTTTTCTTCACTGGACATGGGTAGAGCTATAAAAAGAAATCATCTTTCCACCCTTGCCCACTGTGATGACTGTATGCCTATAGTAGCTATGCCAGTGATGCCATGTTACGTTGTTACATACAGTATTAAAAGATACACATTCATCAAGTGTAATCAAATGTCTAACATACAAAAAATAAATAGGCTTTTGCATACTTAGAAACTCCAAACTCAAAATTGATCTACAAGAAGGCAAAACAACCCTTCGGAGTTGACTATGGAGTTGACTACAGCTAGCTCCTTTGGAAGGTTTTCCCACAGTTTTAAGGTTAATTCTCTTTTACTCTCGGACAAGTAGAAGTGCTTCTAAGATGGAAGGAAGGCACCCAAAACAATGTAGGTAGACAAACCAGCATAGATGGTCTGTATTTTAACTCTACTTTTAGCTGTACTTTGTTCAATCCAGTTTGTTAACAAGCTGCGCCTGTTGCTTTACGTTTACTCTGAATTTATGACTTAAAGTCCTTTTGCATGATGGAAAGTTACATTTTTGGTTTACTGACCCTTTAATAAAACATGTCTAGCACATGCTAAAGTGTTAATGGCCATTTTCTTGTTGTTTAGACCTCAGTATGGAGGGAAGTATTGCCAGGGCTCCAGCCGTATTTATCAGATTTGCAATGCCCAGACTTGTCCTTCCAACACTCCGGACTTCCGTGCCCAGCAATGCGCAGAGTACAACAGCAAACCATTCAGAGGATGGTATTACAAGTGGAAACCTTACACTAGAGTGGAAGGTGAGAGAGATATGGGATACTATGATCTGAAACCTCTGATATTCTATCTAGGCAACATCCAGAGATGGAGTATACCTCACTTTCATTATTTCAGGTGCTGTTTCAACTTTGTCCAATCATTTGACAAATTTTATGTTGTGAGTGAGATTATCAAGTCTTGCAAATATTATCCATCATGATATGGCTTGTTGGATAATGCCATTATATGCTACTCAGCTAGCCATTTTATTCAGGTGGATGTGCTGGCATTATTATCAGAAGCCATGTTGTCTTTAGGTAATCCTGGAATGTTCATGCAGAAGCTTTCTAGTTTGTCAACTTCACTTATTATGCATTTGAAAAAAATCTTCTTTCAAATGAACAGACTGTCAGTCAATAGGTGTGTGTGCATATTAAACTTACTATCATATTCTGCTAATGCCTATATTAAAGTTTACTGTATGTATAGATTACACCTTTTCTTCCTCATCTGTTGATGGATACAGGGAGTTGTAAAACATTTGGTTTTACTGCTGTCTACAGGAGCAGAAAAAAAAAAACAACTGTAGTCCAGTCCAGGGTTTCAGTACCCACCATTAGCATGCTTCCATTTTTTGTTGGTGCCCTAGGAGACTGAATGCTTTTTCCACAGCTTTCCTGTGTTAAGAATAGTTTTTTTGCTAGTACCCTTTTTTTTCTTCAACCAAGACTCCTCTCTACATTGCTGCTGAAGCTTCATCTCTATGATTGCAGTTTTACAGTGTGGTCATTTTCAGCCTGGCTTTTGGAGTTTTGCATCTGGATCTCACTGGACTGGATGTGCTGGGACAGTCTAGAAGTGACTTCTGTAACTGTGGAGTTTTTTTTTGGGGTGGTTTCCAGACTCCATTCTTTTCAGGTCCAGAGCTGTTGGCATTATCTCAGCGCTTGCCCTGACTCCAAGGACTCACTCAGTGAGTGAGTGAGTGGTCAGCTCAAGCACCGCAAGCTACCTCAATTACTTACTATAGATATATATATATATATATATATATATATATATATATATATATATATACACACACACTCACTGGTCACTTCATTAGGTACACCTTGCTAGTACCAAGAAAATATCCCCCCACCATTATACCACCACCAGCCTGAACTGGTGATACAAGGCAGGATGGATCCATGCTTTCATGTTGTTTATTTTAAATTCTGACCCTACCATCTGAATGTCACAGCAACCAGTCTGCCCATTCTCCTCTGACCTCTGACATCAACAAGGCATTTTCGTTCACACAACTGCCGCTCACTGGATATTTTCTCTTTTTTGGACTGTTCTCTGTAAACCCGAGAGATGGTTGTGCGTAAAAATCCCAGTAAATCAGCAGTTTTTGAAATACTCAGTCCTGCCCTCCTGGCACCAACAACCATGCCATGTTCAGAGTCACTTAAATTCCCTTTCTTCCCCAATCTGATGCTCAGTTTGAACTTCAGCAACTTGTCTTCACCACGTCTAGATGCCTAAACGCATTGAGTTGCTGCCATGTGATTGGCTGATTAGCAATTTGTGTTACCAAGCAATTGAACCGGTGTACCTAATAAAGTGGCCGGTGAGTGTATATAATTGTCATTACTTGTGTCTTGTTTAATACTGGAATTAGCTGTTACCTATGTATTGATTGTCATGTTTGTATTCCAGAGGAGAATATCTGCAAGTTATATTGCACGGCTGAGGATTTTGATTTTTTCTTTGCACTGTCTAACAAAGTGAAAGATGGAACTCCATGTTCTGCTAGTGGATACGATGTGTGTATTGATGGCAGCTGTGAGGTAATAACTGCTGTGATGAATATGAGATTAAATCATTTTAAGGGTCCACTCCATGTAGAAGTTATATTTTAGTTATAGGCAGGATACACCCATTGAAATTCAATGCCCGTGTAACGCAATGCATATATACCTTTGCATTAACTCATAGAAGTGAGTCTGCCCTTAAAGTGTTACTAAACCCACAACAATAAAATCAGTCTGTATATGCAGTAAAGCATGCTTGTTATATTCACTGTCGAACCTAAGGGGTTAATCCTCTTCATTGTGTAAAAAGGATGTTTAATCCTGTCTTCTAAGATCCTCCCCCCCCTCTTCCACTGTCCCTGACTCATCTTCTGATAGAACAGAGCCTTGGGCACAAGCTGCACATGCTCAGTTTGGTGGTGTGTATTGCTAGAGATTGGAAGAGTGCATGTGATCAGCACACGGCCAATCAGCACTGTCCTTTACAGAGGGTCGTGGTCCTGAAGTCTCATAGGACAGTGAGAGGACAATGAAAACTCCTCCTCCAAGCTTTAACCAGTGTTCCACTGGACACTGATAGAAGTCACAAGACTGCTTTAACTGCTGATGAGAAAAGGTATTTAACAGATTATATTTACTAAAATAATTGCATTTCCATGTTGTGTGTACTGTGGGAGACCAGATCTAGTGAATGAAGGGTCCTGGGTTTAGTAACACTTTAAGGTTTATTTATCAAACAAGTTTACTGTATTGAATTTTTTTATCACAGCGCTTCTTTTAAATGGCATACCTTTCATAACACCTTAATAAAGAGACCCTGTCACCAAATTTAACTTTGTAATTAAAATCTTTACAGCAGTAGGGAATAGTGGAAGGAAGTAAGAGTAGAGAAGGTTTACTTCATTTTTTAAAAATCTTTTTGTGTTTTTTTTGAGCAAAGTAATTATAGCTGTGGCAGTGAGATTGATTGCTGAAGTCCTGTAATGATCTTGTGTGCTCTCAATGACTTTTATGTTAAGAAAATTTATAATCTCTAGCTTTAGCATATTATTTGTAGGAAGCAGTGAATGCAACTGGTTTAAGCGCAGTCCTAACAATAGAGACCTTCATATATTTCATGCAGACCTTCATAGAAACTTGGATTAATCCTTCTTGTGATGTTCCACCACTCTGTCCTACAAAGGGAAATAAAGAGCCAGGTTCAATGCCTGTTTGTATGGGGGAACATATGACTTCTCTTCCTCTTATATGATAAGGTGGTCTGGTGGTTGGTAATGGTCACTCCAAAAACCAGTTCCATCTCTTTGTGGCAGAGAGAGAGCCCACTTCCCTTAGGACTCTCGTTTTGCCATCTTTGGGGCAGAGAGAAAGTCAGAGGTTTGAAGTTGGGACTTGTTGCTTACACAGGCCTTCTTCTACTAACTTCCCCGGATGAATGGTCTGGTAAAAGAGAGAAGGGAAGTTGGTATGGGGGATGGGGTATCATTATAGGAAACCTATAAGGTACAAAAATGTGGCAACCACCCCAACCTATAACTAGCCTTTGCAGCAAGGTGCACACGGAAGGGAAACACACATCTCAAACAAAAATTTCCCAGCACACTTACCAGCTAGTCTGCAAAACAACCCAAATTAACACCATCTAACAATTCACACTAAAAACAGAGGGTGTGTTTGCACACATTTGCAAATTTATGTGTAAGCTGCAAGGCTTACATCAAGGCAACATTAATGGCATAAGAGGACATAATTGAAAACTCAGTTTAAGTCCCTACTAGATACAGAAAGTTATTGAGAGAAGGGAAGTATGAGTTGATATGGGGGATGGGGTAGCATTATATGAAACCTATAAGGTACAAAAATGTGGCAACCACCCCAACCTATAACTAGCCTTTGCAGCAAGGTGCACATGGAAGGGCAACACACATCTCAAACAAAAATTTCCCAGCACACTTACCAGCTAGTCTGCAAAACAACTCAAATTCACTACATCTAACAATTCACACTAAAAACAGAGGCTTGTGTTTGCACACATTTGCAAATTTTTGTGTAAGCTGCAGTGCTTACATCAAGGCAACATTAATGGCATAAGAGGACATAATTGAAAACTCAGTTTAAGTCCCTACTAGATACAGAAAGCCATTGAGAGAAGGGAAGCATGAGTTGATATGGGGGATGGGGTAGCATTATATGAAACCTATAAGGTACAAAAATGTGGCAACCACCCCAACCTATAACTAGCCTTTGCAGCAAGGTGCACATGGAAGGGCAACACACATCTCAAACAAAAATTTCCCAGCACACTTACCAGCTAGTCTGCAAAACAACCCAAATTAACACCGTCTAACAATTCACACTAAAAACAGAGGGTTGTGTTTGCACACATTTGCAAATTTATGTGTAAGCTGCAGTGCTTACATCAAGGCAACATTAATGGCATAAGAGGACATAATTGAAAACTCAGTTTAAGTCCCTACTAGATACAGAAAGCTATTGAGAGAAGGGAAGTATGAGTTGATATGGGGGATGGGGTAGCATTATATGAAACCTATAAGGTACAAAAATGTGACAACCACCCCAACCTATAACTAGCCTTTGCAGCAAGGTGCACATGGAAGGGCAACACACATCTCAAACAAAAATTTCCCAGCACACTTACCAGCTAGTCTGCAAAACAACTCAAATTCACTCCGTCTAACAATTCACACTAAAAACAGAGGGTTGTGTTTGCACACATTTGCAAATTTCTGTGTAAGCTGCAATGCCTTCATCAAGGCAACATTAATGGCATAAGAAGACATAACTGAAAACTCAATTTAAGTCCCTACTAGATACAGAAAGCCATTGAGTCGCTTAGTTCACTAGCAGCCACTCATAGCTAACGTATCTGCTTTTGGAGGACTGACCACTCAATAATGCAAATAATAAAATGTAATTCATAATTCATCTTTCCTGGACTGAGTAAAGTAAAATGATATGGGATACTGCAATTCGCTCATCACGATTGCTCTTTGCACTGCCATAGCAAATGAGCCAACTGTGTGTAGACGTTCCTCAGGCTTGTCAAAACTTTCACCAAAGTTCAAAGTGAAGTTTATCCGGCAGGAAAACACTAAACCATTTTAATCCATCAGAAAACAATTACCGCTAATTCATGCTAACCTTAGAACGGCTCTTAACCGACTCCTTAATTAATTGGTTGCATTCAAAATTCTATTATCTCCCGGGTGTAAAATATCATCTTCTTGAATGTACCATACAAGCGAGAAAGAGGATTTTAATTTCAGCTTGGCTCAGAGTCAGCATCCTGTGATGTGATACCTTCCGACAGTCACACTCCTCTAATGCATGTTTCATTTCTATAATTCCGGTGCCAGCTCGTAGGCTGCGATTATGTTCTTGGATCAAAAGCAGCTCTGGATGCCTGCGGGGTTTGTAAAGGTGATAATTCAACATGCAAGTTTTACCGTGGACAGTATCTGAGCCATCACAAAACCAACGGTAAGGAGATGTCAGTGAAGCGGAACATGGATTTGTTCTGTGTAATGTTTCCCTTAGCTCACCATGGATTTTCTGTTGTTTTCAGGGGCATTTTAGATCCATTATGACATATGGCAGAACATTATAAATCAGTCTACCGTATCAAATGATCCTTCTGTGCAGAAATAGTTTAACAGCTTCCAGACTGCAAGTAGAATCAATGCTTTGGGGATATGTTGCCACTACACCGGTGATAGAAAATCTATCTAATTGTTCTCCGCTAAGCATCATTTACATCTAAGCTATCTACAGAACATAACCTCATTGTAATTTTAGGCAAGACAGCCATTTCTGTGGAAAATCCATTTATCGTAGACCCAATGCCATGTAGAAAGCTTAAAGTCAAACTCTATGCATACATAGAAAAAGGCCTTATTTTGACATTGGGGTTGATTTACTAATACTGGAGTGTGCAGCTTTGCATAGAAACCAATCAGCTTCCAGGTTTTTTAGTCAAAGTCTAATTGAACAAGCTAAAGTTAGAAGCTGATTGGCTGCAATGCACAGCTGCACCAGATTTTGCACTCTCCAGTTTTAGTAAATCAACCCCATTGTGTAGTCCTTTTAAAATAATTTGCTATTAGATAAAATTTGTTTATGTACCTACATATTTCTAATATCTGTCTCCTGCCATACCAGCATTCAACCTGGACAGGGGGTAGCAGCACTAGGGTCTAATTGAGCTTTGCTGCGTACACATTTGATGACAGGGAACACGCTAACAGGAGGAAATAGCAGAGTTTGCAGGTTTGACAACCTATTGGTGTTTTTCTGCTCCAATCAAAAGGCTGTGGGAACTTGACACCACTGTATTTCTTTACTCTGTTTGGCTTGCTGTCTGGTCATGCTGCCTACCAGAGCTATATGAATCACAAAAAAGACTAGATTGAATTGCAAACCCTTCAGCACATAAGAATTCACATATACAGTATGCATTTCAATTGTGTATGTACAGTTGTGTTCAAAATAATTGCAGTGTGTTGAAAAAGTGAATAAAGCTCAAAATCCTTCTAATAGCTTTTATTTCCATACACACAAATGCATTGGGAACACTACACATTCTATTCCAAATCAAAACATGAAGAAAAATATATCAAATTTGTGTTGTTCCTCTAAAAAAATTGAAGAAAAGTGAATATTAGACTGTTCAAAAAAATAGCAGTGTTTGTATTCTTCTTTACAAACTCAAACATTCACTATATAAACTGAAAAATGTTTGAAGATTTTGCTTTCCTTTGAATCACTTAATTAATATTTCGTTGTATAAGAACTGTTTCTGAGAACTGCTTTACATCTGTGTTGCATGGAGTCAACCAACTTCTGGCACCTGTGAACAGGTATTCCAGCCCAGGATGATTGGACTACATTCCACAGTTCTTCTCTATTTCTTGGTTTTGCCTCAGAAACTGCATTTTTGATGTCACCCCACAAGTTTTCTATTGGATTAAGATCCGGGGATTGGGCTGGCCACTCCATAACGTCAATCTTGTTGGTCTGGAACCAAGATGTTGCACGTTTACTGGTGTGTTTGGGGTCGTTGTCTTGTTGGAACACCCATTTCAAGGGCATTTGCTCTTCAGCATAAGGCAGCATGACCTCTTCAAGTATTCTGATGTATTCAAACTGATCCATGATCCCTGGTATGTGATAAATAGGCCCAACACCATAGTATGAGAAACATCCCCATATCATGATGCTTGCGCAACCATGCTTCACTGTTTTCAAAGTGTACTGTGGCTTGAATTCAGTGTTTGGGGGTCGTCTGACAAACTGTCTCCGGCCACTAGACCCAAAAGAACAATCTTACTTTCATCAGTCCACAAAATGTTGCGCCATTTCTCTTTAGGCCAGTCAATGTGCTCTTTGGCAAATTGTAACCTCTTCAGCACATGTCTTTTTTTCAACAGTGGGACTTTGCGGGGGCTTCTTGCAGATAGCTTGGCTTCACATAGGCGTCTTCTAATTGTAACAGTACTCACAGGTAACTTTAGACCTTCTTTGATATTCCTGGAGCTGATTGTTGGCTGAGTTCTTGCCATTTTGGCTATTTTTCTATCCATTCGAATGGTAGTTTTTCGCTTTCTTCCACATCTTTCAGGTTTTGGTTGCCATTTTAAAGCATTTGCGATCATTTTAGCTGAGCAGCCTATCATTTTCTGCACTTCTTTATATGTTTTCGCCTCTCCAATCAACTTTTTAATCAAGGTACGTTTTTCTTCTGAACAATGTCTGGAACGACCCATTTTCCTCAGAATTTCAGAAAGAAATGCACTGTAACCAGCATGTACAACATTTGCTGCCTTCCTTCCTTAAATAAGGGCAATAATTGCCACCTGTTTTTCAAAGAATGAATGACCTCACTAATAGAACTCCACACTGCTATTATTTTGAACATGCCCCTTCCAATTAGTGATTCAATTACACAGAATCAGCAGCATGCATGTCATGACTGTTGGGTCTGTTGGATTTCTATTACTCTACTACACCTGCTAGTAAATTATTTGCCATGTAGAAATATCATTTCTACCAAAAACAGTGATTGATCAGGTTAGTGATGTCTGACTGCTATTATTTTGAACACAATTGTAGCTGTTTGCGTGGAGGTAAAATATATGTATAGTTGAAACATTAATAAAAAATATAGTAGGGAAGTGTTCAAACCCCTTGTCAGTTTATTTTTGCTGTCTTTGTCCTCCTGGGGAGATTTCTCTTCATTTCCTCTTCTGAAGATGCAGCAGGAAGAGGGAATAAATATTTAATAAACGGGATGGAAATTCCCCTCTTAGTATGTTGTCACAAAAACCAGTATCCTCAGTGCGAGATTTTCCCTCACCTGTGCTGGTGACCGTTCTAAAATGTTGTATTTCCCTTTAATTTCAGAGATCACCAGGACAAATAAAGAAGGTAAATTTGCCCACGAAGGACAAAGCAAAAAATAAGAACGCTCTCAGTGGTCTGATTCTTTTCTCTCTCTTGCCCAAATGCCCAAAAAAAAGAGTTTGGACTGTACATACACTTTAAGCTGTAAGGAAAATGGCTGCCAACATATTTCTCTCTGTAGTGTGGCCTTTTTTTCAACTTGACAAAGATGTCAATGACAGGGGCTGGCATTGGCACAGCATATCTTTTACTAACTCCTTGGAAGGTTAAAGCAGACCTTCAACTTCAGAAGCTGAGCTAAATTGTAAAGACATGTGAATCACACCCCTGGCATTCTCACATTCCAAACTCACAATTTGCTTTGTAGGATCTCTTACCCACTGAGATCCTTTGGACCCCTTATAGCATTTGCATTGTGTAGTGTGTTGCAAAGAGTAGATCCCTAGTTTATTCTTGTTGACATCTGAACTTAAACAGGCCACAGAAGATTTTACAAAAGAACAGAAAAGGAAGTATGCTGAAAATAGGTCCAGAACAATCTCTGCCCAATGCTCACAGAAGCACATGAGGTTCCTATGGCCCTTTACCTTTCCACACAGCAGATGGGAAACAGCTCAATAATCCCAGACAATCCATTGATTTTTCATGTGATTGACCCTTTTATCTGATTTTTTTTATTAAATTAATATCTAAAAGAAATAATTATGGCAACAGTAATGGTAATTTGACCTGTATCAATCTAGTCACTTTCAAAGTGAAGGGTTTCTGAAAAGAGTAGGCACAATCTGAAAGCAATCTCTTGAAAATCAGTTGATTGCTTCCTACATTACAAAATTTTTTGAAGTCATCCAAATGATGATATGTTTGTTTCAATAATGTATAGATTCAGCTGGATTATAAAAATGATCTTATTATTGTAAGATTGGATAAATATGTATATAGCCAACCTATGTGTACTGCTTACCACTGGCTGTCCAGAGGTGACGCATGTACAGTGCATCCCTAGGATGGTGTGCGATTACTAGGCTTTTTCCTGCTTGCTATGTAGGTTGAAGAGCCAAAGGTACCCTTTGTGTGCTGATGACAGCATTTGGATCAATATTGATTAAATTCACTTGTTTTATCTAAATAATTTTATCAAGCTACTGGTTTAATGCGTAGACCAGTGATTCTCAAACTTTTCAACAGAAGGAACCCTTGAAATAACTTTCTGGTCTCGGGGAAATCTTGCTAAAAATGACTGTATCTACAACACGAAACATTAGTATGATAGTGAGAAGAATGCTCCTTACACTTGTGGTCATTGGGAAGAATTACCCCTTACAGATAGCTAAAAAGATCAATGGTGTCAGTGGGAACTTATCTGAGAGGCAGAAATTGCTTATTGCTCAAGGAACCTCTGGAGGAACCCTAAGTTTCAATGGAACTCTGGTTGAGAAACCCTTGTGTAGAAAGTCTATATGTACTGCTTACCACTGGCCTTGACTTTTTTTATGCTCTTGATTTGTACATGCATTCAAGAAATAAACAAAAAGCATACTCATCAATCCTTATTGTTATTCAGATTACTACACAGTGGTGACAATACCGGCAGGTGCCAGAAGTATCCATTTTCAGGAGATTGAAGTCTCAACCAGCTACCTCTCTGTAAAAAACCTAAACAAGAAGTATTATTTAACTGGAGACTGGACCATCGACTGGCCTGGGAAGTTCTCATTTGCTGGGACTGTTTTCAACTACCAAAGACCTTTTCAGCAGACTGAGAGCCTTTATGCACCTGGACCGACAAATGAAACACTGGTTTTGGAAGTAAGATTTTAAATTTAATGTCAATATACATTTCAAATGACACCTGAAACATGCTATTAGGTTTCTTAGCTCTCCCCAGGTGTTCCATCTAATAGTTCAGAACTGATGAAGGATATAACAATTACCGTTATCATTTAGATTCAGGACTACTGGTCCTCTTGTTTGTGGCTTGGGTCAGCAGGGGGGCCCAGGTAGCAGGATGTGGGCAGGAAGGGTCATCGGCGTAGCGAGGGGACAGTTACAAGAACTGATCCCCTGTATGGCTCTCTCTGTAGCTTCTCCTCTTTTCCTTCTAACCGGCTTTCAGCTCCTGCAGAGATAGCCATACATGCCGATTGTCCTCCCAGTGCACCATCCTCTTCCCCTATCTCAAAAGTGAGACATCAGGGGTCTGTTTAGACCCCTAATATTTCACCAAAATATTTAAAAAAATATTAAAATAATAAGAACAGCTGTAAAAAATTATTAAAAAAATGTACAAAAAGCTAAAAGAAATTAAAATAGAAAATAGAAAAAAGAAAATAATAAAAAAAAATAAGGGCCCATTCACATGGGTTTTCTGGTCCATACAGCATGAATGAGCCGATTTTGTGGCTAGTGCCACCTGTTACTCTGTGAAGATGCAACCTACATATACTGTGTGTGTGTACATATACTGTGTGTATGTGTGTATATATATATATATATATATATATATATATATATATATTATACAGTATATTGCCAAAAGTATTGGGACACCTGCTTCCTTTAGTTCTACCAGTGCGATCTTTACCTATAGAGTATGTGGATGCAACCGCAGGTCTTAACATGACAGGTGTGTAGGTGTGGGTGAGTGGCCCCAAATCCATGCACCTGTCAAATTAAGACCTGTGGCTGTGTTCATACAGCTGCTGTGTCCCCATATTGTAACATACCCTGCCTACACACACCTTCAGCCACATATGATTTCCATGTAATTCACTGTAGCAAGGTTTCATAGAACTCCTCACTTGTGCAGTAGGACTATTTCCTAAGTCTGTGCTTCTATTTAAATTTGAGGTTTGTGAGAAGGAAAATAATCTATAGTAGGTGTGCTTGGGAATACCTCTCCTAAATAATAAAGAGGTGAGCAAAAAGTTTTATTGCATTGCTTACAAAATTGAGCGGATTGGTGCCCTACTACAGCAATGCCAAGAAGAAGCTTTGCAGCCCTGAGTAGGTAACTTGTGTTCACTTCTGCATCTCAAGCCTTAACGTGAACCTGTTCTCTTGGAGTTGAGCTGGAAATGTTGCAGTGTGCTCCTGCTTTGCTTATGACTCCAGTAGTCTTCCATTGTGGTGGACAATGCTCAAGCACATCCACCCAGCTCATGTGGTGTTCTGCACACCTACATCATCATCAAAACATGATTAGAAAAAGGGAAAGGAAGAGGGGTACTCTCCTAGAGACTGTGTTTGACATTTAGTAATGCCTGAAATTATGGTGGAACTCAGAAATGTCTTTAGAGGTACATAAGTCATACAAATGCCTTCATGGAGCAATGTGACTCCAAAGCAGAACTTATTAAATGTATTTTTGTATTTTAAACTGCAAGCTCAGTTACCTGAAATATGGTGTGTTACCTTAACATAACCCCCTGCACCAGAAATTGCATGAAGTTCACGCACGTGAGAGGAGAGAAACATTTATAACATGTTCAAACCTAAGCAGTCCATTGTTATGCGTTAGTACGCGCATACATTTTATTACATTTAGGGGCGGACTGACAACTCATGGGGCCCCCGGGCAATAGGGGATCATGGGGTCCATGTGTCCTTGCCCAAACTCAAACAAACCTATGAAAAAGGTACCAGGGGCATTTCATGGGGCCCCCTACTGACCCCCTCGGGACCTCGGGCAGTGCCCGAGTTTCCAAATGGTCAGTCCACCCCTGATTACATTACATTACAAGGTAAACAGGCTCTGCTGCACTATAAATTGCTGTTATCCTAACATGTTTCAGGTGCCAGAGGATACAGGGAGCCAGAGCTTGCAGGAGGAGATAGAATAGGGAGGAACTCATAAATCTGCTGATGTTTATTCGTATTCCAAGTAGGGTGCAGACATTGTAAATCACAAGAGCTGCTGAACAGAATTTTAAATAGGTTGGCATGTGGTGCCTGTACAAAGGGTGTAATATTAAGTATATATAACGCAGCAAGAATCTTCAACCAATAGGGGAATTTCCGAAGTCTATGCCTGTTTGTGATACGCCATTCTCTAGTGGTCATAATCGGCATGTTCATGACTAAAAAAACAGTTAGCCATGCTATTAATTTGAGGTTAAGAACACATTGGTTATGAGATCCTTGAAAGGCGAGCCGTACATGTTGCAAATGTGAGTCACTGCGTCAAGTACAAGATATCTTTAGTCAAGCTGGTTAGGACGATGTGTGGTTTGATTTTGATCAAAGTTCCAAGCACAACAAGCCAGAAGGATCTGACCTTATATAAACACTTAATTAGAATCTGGCCTGACCGAGTCCCACTAGGGAAATGTTTAATGAATGAGTTGTGTTGTTAACAGCTTCTCACTGATGTATGCAAGCTTTCAATAGAACTCTGATGTGTTTAATCCTCTCCTTTGGTCAAAACTCTCAGTGGCCACAGAAGTGATTAAATGAAACGCAATGGAATTAGGCAGCAATGCCAGTAGCCCTGTGCTAAATAACTAAGTAACCCGGTGCTTTGCATCTCAGCAGCACAAACTCACTTTTCTTTCCAGCCTGTGGGCGGGGCTTACTGTCCCAAGTTTGGGACCCAGAGCTTGTGCTCGCTAGTTCCCCCAGAGGCGAGCTAAGGCAGACTTTTACACTGATGTAAAGTCAATTTGACACGCCAACCATAACGTGAGGCTCCTCCATGAGAACACAGTTAACTTATGTAACCCATGGCCAACTTCTGTACCACTCTACATCGTTCACGATGGACAAAGTTTCTTATTGCCCTATAGATTTCTTCTCTCACTTAAAATGATTGTAAAAGCTCAAGGATTTTTAATTTCACGCATTCTAAAAAAACCTTCAGTGTGCAGCAGCCTCCCCCAGACCCCTGAATACTTACCTGAGCCCCATCTCAATCCAACAATGTGTAATATAAAATAGTGTAGCGCTACTATACTAAATCACCGTAAATATTATTTCATGGGCAAATCAAGCCTTAATGTGATTAGTGATATTGAAAACATAAATAAATGTGACACATCGTAAAGTGACAGGGTCATCTTGGTGCCCTAAACAAGTGCCAACAAAGAACTCGACAATAAAAATGCAAAAATACATATTGTGATAGTGCCACTTCAAATCTCATAAATGAATCAAAATAAATCCAATAATTGAATACATAAGTGATGCAACATACACATGCAATGTGCAATTGGTGCTCAATCGTGTGAGTGCCAACACACTTTTCCACTCCAGCTGCAGTGCCTCCTCACCTCCTTTCTGCGACCCCTAAGGGCCAGAAAGCCTTCAGGATCACCCTGGATCCTCAACAATCCCGGCTGGTAAAACTCCTTCCCAGGCTGTTTTCCTATTAAGCCTCCTCCAAAACGCTGATACACAGCTTCTTCGGTTTTGAAGTGACGCACTTCCGGTATGGGACGCCATCTTGAAAACTCCTAGGAAGTACCACATGAATGCAGTTTACCCATACAGAGGAGAGGAAAGAGGCTGTATTAAAATGTGAGTTACTTCCTAATTCAAATAAAAGAACTGCAAGCTTGATTTACTACACTATGGAGGATCTCTTTTTTGCTCACTAATATGTGAGTGAGATTTCACAGAATACCTGCCTAGAGGGCCCTAAAGGTCACAGAGGAGAAAGTTTGGAGGAGGCTTAATAGGAGAACTACCTGGAAAGGAGATTTAACAGCCGGGATTGTTGAGGATCCAGGGTGATCCTGAAGGCTTTCTGGTCCTTAGGGGTCGCAGAAAGGAGGTGAGGAGGCACTGCAGCTGGAGTGGAAAAGTGTATTGGCACTCACACGATTGAGCACTAATTGCACATTGCATGTGTATGTTGCATCACTTATGTATTCAATTATTGGACTTATTTTGATTCATTTGTGAGATTTGAAGTGGCACTATCACAATATATATTTTTGCATTTTTATTGTTGAGTTATTTGTTGGCACTTGTTTAGGGCACCAAGATGACCCTGTCACTTTACGATGTGTCACATTTATTTATGTTTTCAATATCACTAATCACATTAAGGCTTGATTTACCCATGAAATAATATTTATGGTGATTTAGTATAGTAGCGCTACACTATTTTATATTATTTATTGCACTGTTTTGGTATCAGTTTGAGTGTTAGCAGCTGTAGGGTAGGGTTTGGGGTCCATATCAGCGCAGGAGGAATTTTTTTATTGTAATCCAACAATGTGCACAAGAGTGTTGGCTGTCTTGGTCTCTCCCTCCTCATTGGCTCCTGCTACTGTCAATCACTGCCAATGAGCCAATGAGATATCAGGGGTCGGGTTTAGGCCACGGCTACTTGTTAAAGGACACCCAGAGCAGTGACTCAGGAGCGAACCTGCTTGGGACCCCCGATATCAAGCTGCTTGCTGTGGAGGCACTTGGCAGGAGGGAGGGGCCAGGAGAAGAGGAGGATCAGTTTTGCAGCATTTCTAAGCCTGTATGGCAGAGTCTGTATCGGACTCCACCAGCCCAGTAACCTGTCACCTCACTCCTAGTGACATTGATGTTTCAGTTGGATACTAGGAAGCTCACTAGTACATCTCCCATGCTTTTTCTTTTCCCAGGCCTCACTACATCCTCCGTGACTCTCAGGCTATGTCACTAGGGTACCCCATGCCACAAGGTTGCTCCCAGTATGTGTGAAACCAGTGGCTAGGAAAGTAGCCTAATTACCTACCTCTTTCACTACAGGGCCTCTGTCAGCCTTGCCATTTCACCCGCTTCCTGACTGGCTGGCTGTATATGCACACTAGCCATTAGCAACGGCAATATAG